ATATATATATATTAGTGCTGTCAAATGATTAATCACCTCTAAAATATTTTTTGTTACATAATATATGTGTGAGAACTGTGTGTATTTTATGTATATAAAAAAACTAGCTTATGTATATATATATATATATATATATATATATATATATATATATATATATATATATATATATATATATATACACATACATATACACATACATATACATATATACTGTATATATATATATATGTATATGTATACACACACACTACCGCTCAAAAGTTTGGGATCAGTAAGACTTCAATAATGTTTTATTGTATTTTTAATAAAAAATAAATGCAGCCTTGGTGAGCATAGGAGACTTCATACCGACCCCAAACTTTGTCACCAGCAGTGACTATATCAAGATGTTTGTCAGTGTGCATGTGTACCTTCTAAGCTTCTGCGCCTCCTTCAGTCACAACACTGTCTGAAATGACTCTGCCGCATTTTGTTGGGGTGCAACCTGAGGACAGAATGCATTAGCATTTCATATCGATTCATTAATTATGACCGCGATTAAAGTTACTGGCTCTATGCCCCTGCCAAATTCTCTCTTCAAACTTCATATTCGATGGCACACTCAGCGACGCAGCCTGCCCTGCAAAATGTACTGCATAATGACTCTGGAGTTTGTTCCAGCATCCTCTCAGAGAGGAGGTGCTGTCAGTCAGGCAATATTCACAGTGGGGTGTTCAATTGACAACAAAGCTGTGCATCCAATCATATTCCACAGTATATAGCATTCTGGCACAAATTCATATGCCACTTGCTAGAATCCAGTAGGAATTCTTGGAGGAATTCGAAAGACCACAAACAGCTACAGTTAGCTTCAGGACAATATATTTTCTCTCTTTCCATTCTCTTTCCCAAAGCTTATTTACGCCTGTCGTAAAGAGAGTGGGATGAAGTGGAGCCAAGGGAGCGCTTGTTAATCCCAGCGCTTGCTTTGTTTGTGGTGCCTACAGCTTTTTGAAGCTGGTGTGGGGTTCTGTAATGAGTCCTATGTGGGAGGCTTCAGACTGTCAATCACAGATCTGGCCTCCCACCAATTATCTAACTTCATGATTTAGACCGATGGAACGCACAGGTGTTGACTTTGTTCAACTGAAGCTTTCTACTCCTGGAAGTTGTTTGGAAACGGGTTTCCTCTGATCCAACAGTGCATTTTAGTTCAAAGGTTGCCCCAGTTATATTACACAGAGTTTTTGGAACAAAGATACAAATAGCAAAATAATAGCTGGATGCATCTTAACCAATGCACTTACACACACTCACACTCAAAAAAATATTCTCTAGCTTGCTTAATAATCTGGCATTATGTACTATGAATATTGTTTGACAAATTGTTTTTATTTTATTTTATTTTAAGTCACTTTGCATACAAGTATCTGCTAAATGCATCAAAATAAATGTTAGACCCACCATCCACAAACAAGCTATTACCATACAGTGATCAGTCAAAGAGACCACATCCAATATGCACAAACTAAATTAGTATGTAGAGTACAACATTTTTTGTTAAGGAAAAATTATGTAATGTTTTATAAACACAATGATCTTCTCATGCACATAGCAAACCAGGCAACTGACTGAATAATCAGTCTAATAAATGACCTGTTTTTCATTTAAAGGAGAATGTAGTTTACATCAATACAAAGTAAAATATTTTCACAAACTTCAGGCAATAATTGTGCTTAAGAGGAAAAATCTTAATTTATATTTTATAAAATAATACATGTATTATTAAATTTTTTTCTATAAAATTAACAAGCAATACAAGCAAATGCTGTTTAAATGTCACTGTTAAAATCTATAAAATACTTGCAAGATGTCAAAATAATTGTATATATACATCATACTATAAAATTTAACTATTGCATTTTTTTTAAATAAAAGTAACAAGCCACACAGGTAAATACATTTTAAATGCCACTTTCAAAAACCATAAATATACTGGCAAGATAGCAAAAAACATATTAGGTTCAATATGCAAATATTACAAAAACATTGTTAAAAGGTCTATCAGTTTAAATCAACATGCAATTTTGAAAAATCCCTATAACATTTCTAAAATATACTAACCAAACCAAACACAATAATAACAATAATAATAGTATATAATAAATAATAAAACAATAATAATAGTAATTTCCAGTAAATACTGCAGTATTGAGTGAGTGGTCTTCAATGAATGGATGCATACCTGGGAAGAGCTTGTACTTCTTGTAGTCTTCAGAGCACTCAACTGTGAACACTCTAGGCTGAGTGAGGATCTCGCTTCTTGAATCCAATGTGTGTGTCAAGTCATCAGTCCATGTGAAATACATCCAGCTCACTAGTCCAGTGACTCCTGTCAGCAGCAACAGCGTGATCACGTTACCTCTCCAAGAGGAGGCCTGTCTCTGCGCATTTGCCCTGAATTAGGGATGGGCGATACCCCTTATTTTGTTTTCGACTTGTTAAATAAACAAAACCACTGGTAAATAAAGCGCACCTTAGTATCGATATTTCGGTATCGATATATCGATACTTCGGATCGATACGCCCATCCCTACCCTGAATCAACACACACCATATGAATACAGAACACAGGTGCGAAGGACTGTCAGGTGTGCATTGCTTAGTTTCATCTATTCATTTGACTGCCAGATTACACAACGAAATGAAAAAGTGAAATATACATTTATCCTGACATCATGTAGGGAGTATTTTGCATGTAAACAAGGATCTGAAGCAGCATCACTCATTAATCGCAGCAATGCAAAGTCAATGTGGGTTCATAAAGTTTCAGAAATTAAAAATCATTACCTCTTAATTTTATTTTCAATGGCGCTACTTTCTGGGTTTTTCACTGATTCCTCGTCGCAGTGCAGTCATGTTTATTAATTATGCCTGTCTGCGTGCATCAATATAACACATGTATGGTTTCATTTCATTCAGTGTTTGTCTACTGCACTGCCATATACAAGAACGTCGTGTCAAACGCTGGACATTTAATGTGTCCAAATAAAAGTCTTTTATGCAGAACAATATTTCAAATGTTATTTCTAGATGCTACTGGATGTAAAGTGTAACAGTTATTCGTATTATTGATTCGAATTACTCAATCTATATTCGAAGGTTCATATACAAGAACGTCGTGTCAAACGCTGGACATTTAATGTGTCCTAATAAAAGTCTTTTATGCAGAACAATATTTCAAATGTTATTTCTAGATGCTACTGGATGTAAAGTGTAACAGTTATTCGTATTATTGATTCGAATTACTCAATCTATATTCGAAGGTTAAAAAAAATAAATATTTCAGGAGTTTGTGGTTTTCATGTAATAATAATAATGTTTTATTTTTATAGCGCCTGTACCATGTACCTGAAGGTTTATTTCAAAATAAAGGTTAACCATTCACATGTATTCATACATAGGTTGGATCTATCTATACATCCATCACAAACTGCTGAGGGTGCTAAACCCAGTCAGTCCGAAATTATGAAATAATTATAGAAGCTCATTAAAATAAACTGTAGTATGGAATGGAAAAAGAGAAACATACACTCGTATCCACCCAAGTAGTTAGGATGTTTAATTGTTGTTTTATTATTATTCATTTATTGTGATTATTTTTAATCCCATCACTTCGGTCTGCCCTCTGCGGTCATTAAATCTCTAAAACTAGAGAAACAAACTAATACTTAAACCCTTTGAAAAGTGGAACTTAAAATCTCCAGCTTTAAGCTTTTACATATTTATGTAATATATTAATCTGAGGTTACTCTTTTTCTACTCGAAGTTAATGCTTTAACCACAGCAAACAATATATCGGGTTGGGTTCTCATGAAATAATTTCCTTGTGATTTAGCACTCAATCCTAATGTATTTGTTGTGAAAATGCCCAACAAGAAAACACACAGCAGAACTTGCTTCCACACTAAGGAAATTGCCTGATTATATTCATGTACAAAGGATCATTTCCCCTAAAACCAAGAAATGTAATCAAAACACTTTAATTAGTGAACAGGCCAACTCATACAAAAATAAAACATCATTTTCCTTGAACTGAAATCTGCTTATATCAAGATTTCAATAATCGAGCTTTGGACAGAGGACTTTTGTGGACCACTTTTCACTGTTAGGCAAAAAAAAAAAAACATTACTTTCCAAAGTGTTTAATGTCTTACTGAATTCTCACTGTCAATGATCAATGCTAGATCGTCACTACAAATCAATCACAATCACATGCAGGAAGCTCTCAAATCAACACTGGACTTCAAAAAGTCATTTAAAAACATCATTCTCCCACAAGAAATTACTCTTTTGTTATTGAATATTTATAATTGCACACTAAACAGAATAAATGAAAATGAAAAATTATTTTTCCAAAGGATGTGTGAACGTATACATTTACAGGAAAACAATGAGTTAACTTTTTTTTTTTACAAAACATTGAATTTTAAAACAATATTGATGGTATTTAACTTATACAATAGTCTACTGCTGGCAAACTAGAAAATGGAGTTTGCATTGAGATACTGATCTGAAAAGATCAGAAAAAACAACAAACAAACAAAAGAATGAACGAAAAAGAATAAACTTCAGTGCAGACATAAATGTGTGTTGGGGAAAAGGTTATTTTAATCAAAGAGGACTAAAACCTTTGTAGGATTGGGCCATTTAATATAACCACCCTACTTGGCAAACAGTACACTGTAAATACAAAACTGTAAAGACGGTATAATGCAAAAGTAAACGGCAAACAATACTTGATCGTACGGACTTAGAAAATAATTTTCTAGTGTGTGTGGTAATATGATTGGCAACTGTGCTTATTACAGAGCCTCTTCCTTACAGCCAAGTTCTTTTGAATCTCTCATCTATAACAATCATTTAGATTTATGTGCATCATTTCATTTATGTGCATCCATAAAATGAAGAAAAAAGGAAAAAGATATGCAATACTGCAAACAACCGATGAACCGCAGATAACCGAAACCCAAGAGTCTGTATCACAAAGTTGCTGTAATTAAAAAACTTTCAATGTAGAAGAGCTATACAGTTCTATATGACATTTTAGGATTTTATTGTAGTTGTACAACATTCCCTGATGGCCTGTGTTGGCTGTTGAGAGATACAGAGAAGAACAAAAATTCAGAGGATCAGAAAGATGAAATTGTCCATTTGAAAGAAAACATTAAAAACTCTCAACTGGGGAACAAGTAGATCTTGCTCAGTGTTGTCCCTTTTTGCTGTGAGAAAAAAGTTCCACATGTTGGCCATACACGCATACACACAGGCAAACTCACACGCATACAACCATTTCACACAGTAGCAGCCTCTGACGCTTACTCTGCGGGAAAGAAACATGAAGATACACTTAGAAAATCAAACAGATTCAGATTACAGATAAACATTTACTCATATTTCATAACAAACATGGATGTTTAGAGAGCAAAATATTTGTGTATGCATTTTATTTTTTAAAGTTCCTCACCTATGTTAACTTCTTAGCCTTGTTGTACAGTGAATCCACAACTTTGCTCATGTTCTGTATGGTTTCTAGAGCTGCCTCGTAAGTTTTGTCCACAGGGGGCTCTTCGAATATGATGAGCACTCCTTCACCTTGGTCAAGAATGCCTGCAACAGTAGAAGTCCATCAGGCAAATGAATTCAAGATATTTTGGAGATTTTGCCACGTTCATTAGATTTAGTTACATGCTGTAGAGGAGCAGGAAATTATTAGGCGACTTCAGTCATGAATAACTGTTATTATTTGTTTATACACTCCTAAAGAGGCCATTTAAGTCGGGGAAGTCGTGGCCTAATAGTTAGCTCAAAGGTTGCGAATTCGAGTCTCAAGTCCAGCAGGGATTGTAGGTGGGGGGAGTGAATGTACAGTGCTCTTTTCCACCTTCAATACCACGACTGAGGTGCCCTTGAGCAAGGCACCGAACCCCCAACTACTCCCCGGGCGCCGCATCATAAATGGCTGCTTACTGCTCCGGGTGTATGTTCACTGCTGTGTGTGTGCACTTACGATGGGTTAAACGCAGAGCACTAATTCCTAGTATGGGTAACTGTACTTGGCCACATGTCACGTCACTTTCACTTAATGCGTTTTAATATTTTCCTTTAATGTGTCTATTAGGGCATAATAATGTATAAGGTCCCCACAAAAGGGATTTATTCTCTCTAACAGAGAACACCACTTAAACAAAAGACTGAAGTCTAGATATTACTTCCACAAATGTCTACATAGCAATTTGAAAAATTAGCATAATGCCCACTCAAAGTCATATGCAAAGAAAGAGGGCAAGGCTTTACAAAATAAAAACGTACCACTATGAAACGGTTTGCTTAAATCAATCTAAATTTTTTTAATCTGACTTGGGCTCGAAATAATATGGTAAAACCAATGCTATAATTAACGATTTGTGTTTGTAACTGCTTTGGAAGCCTCAGACGCTGATTGTGGTAAGGGATGTCATACATGTTTGATATGTATGGCCAATCACAATGCACTGGGTCAGCTGTCCAATCAGGGCACTCTGGGCTTTTCGGCATGGAGAAGCATTGTACAAACCGCAACTCAATTAGAACATACTTCACGTTATTCTGTTCCAGCAAATTGTCATAAAGCTTGGCCAAATGTGTGTTGATGATGGGGTCATCCCTCAGCTCTTTAGTGTACTCTGTCAGGGCCTTCATGTGTGAAAGAGCAAGCAGAAAGCTGAGCATGACGTCAAAGACTTCAATTAAAAATGTATACAGACAGTCAAAATCTCACCTTTTCAAAATCTGCTAATGATCTGTTCTTGCTGGCTTGTGCTATACATCTCAGTGCATCGGTCTGATGGAGAAAAAATTACAGGGCACAACTATAAATGAGCACTTGCTCAGAAAAAAAGTCAAATGTGTAGCAGGTTGTTAAAAGCAAACATAAAAGCATGACGCACAAAGAACCGTGAAGTGCTGCTGCAGAGCATTTGTTTGCAAGTGGTAATTTCATCTATAAAAATCTCACCTGTCGCCCTGCATATCGCAGAGCCAGTTTGCCACTGATCAAGGCCTGTACCTCCTCTGGCCTGGAAGAAAAGAAATTAATACTTTTATTCAGCAGGGATGCATTGTATTGATCAAAAGTGACAGTAAAGACATTTATAAGGTTACAAATAATTTCTATATTCTCTTTTGAACTTCATATTCATCAAACACTGATGAAAAAATTATATTACTGTTTCAACTAAAATATCAAGCAGCAACTGTTTTTTAAATACAGATAATAATAAATGTTTAAAAATCAGCATATTAGAATGGATCATGTAACACTGAAGACTGTAGTAATGGCTGCTGAAATTTCAGCTTTGCCATCACAGGAATAAAAATAATTGAAAATATATTAAAGACATTTTTTTTATGTCTCTTTAATAAAATAAACACATCTTGAGATGAGCATAAGAGACTTCTTTCAAACATTTAAAAAATCTTACCAACCCCAAACTTTTGAACAGTAGTGTAAAATCTGTGATTTTAATACATGCTACACTTTTATGGACTTAAGCTAGAAGTCATTAAGCGTAGGCGATGATTTATCAAGATGCCTTGTACTGAAGATATGAGAGCTTAGTATTACTTAGTAAGGCGGTGTTACATAACAGAGCTCGGCATAACCAACACAATGACTGTTGTATTATCCTGTGGCCTCCCACACACAAACAGGGATAAACTGTAAGCGGTTATCTCACTTACGAGCTGAGCATGATCTTGCAGAGGAGCATGTATTTCAGTGCAGTGACTGCCCTGGGACTGTCGATGGAGTCGTAGCCCTCAAAAGCCTCAAAGAAGTAAGAGTAGGCAGTTTTCCAATCTTTCTCCTCAGCTGCATGGATGATACCTGGAGTACAAGGGTGAAACGGTCACATAGCAATAAGAAACACACTTCCGATTTCAAAGGCACTTGCAGATCACTAAACTGAGAAGTGAGACTTGCCTGACTGCATATCAAGAGCCGCTTGGAGCTTTGGGGGACAGTAAATGGCATTGGCGGTGGTTCTGGCTGAGGTGAGGGCAGCCCTGGCTTTGGGAAGGTTGCTGAGAGCGTGGAAGGTTTTACTCTCCAGCAGCTGAACCTCCACCAGCAGAGCTTTATCATCCATCTTCTTCAGCTCCTGTAGCAATTGGGAACCTAAAGAGAAAGAACAGAGATTGTCATCTTAAAGTTTCAAGCACATCAAAAGTACTAGAGTGTACAACAAAAACACAGTGGGATCCAAATGACACAGTACACTAGTGAGGATGCTTTTATTTTGCAATTTTCTAATTAAAATTGCAAATCATAATTTGTGCAAAAAAGTATTTGGCTCAGATGTTTGAATCCCACTACATGTACACATTTATTTTTCGACATTATTCTTACCCAAATGAAGGGCTTCCTGATATCTCTTTGTGTCAAAGTAGAGTGAAATGAGTCGAGCCTGATGAAAAAAAAGAAGGAATAATGATAAACTATATTGTTGTCTACTGCTAGTTAATTAAATTCATTAATTTAGTTAAGAATATTTTTAAATGTCATGATAGTAATATTATTATTCAATTTAAAATAAATATTCTTTTAAACCTTCTATTAATCAAAGAATCCTGAAAAAAGTTTCATGGTTTCCACAAAAATATTAAGCAACACAACTGTTTTCAACATTGATAAGAAATGTTTTTGAGCAACAAATCAGCATATTAGAATGATTTCTGAAGGATGGTGTGATACTGAAGACTTCCATCACAGGAATAAATGACATATTACAATATGTACATTTTAAGATAAAATAATATTTCACAAAATTACTGCTTTTACTGTATTTTTCTATCAAAAATGCAGCCTTGGTGAGATGTAAGAGAAGGGGAAAAAAGAAGGAATAATGATTAATTATTTTGCTGTCTACTGCTAGTAATTTGAATGTATAAATTAAGAAAATAATAAAAATGACTGAAAAAAATTACTCCTCACAAGGACAAAAATTACAGATTTACTTTGTTTTATTATTAGACAATGAAAAGCTGTGGCAAAAACAATGAAACACATGGAGTGGCTTATTGCTTTTATAAGCTCACCGTTTTAAGGTTTTATATTAATTTGGCGTTGTAATATACAATTCACCTGATATCAGTTCAGTTCAGCATAAATGGGTTCTTTTATGGCATCCACTCAAATCTTAGTTGGAACTACCCATTTTATATTAATTACTGATCCATGATTAATTATTGGCTGATTGACATGACAGTCCAAAGCTGTTTATGCAGATTTAGTTTACCTCTAGGGCTTGTCTGAGGAAGGTTCTTTTCTCAGCTTTAGCCCATTCGATGCATTCCAGGCACAGCTCAACCTCCTGGCCTGTGGCAGCCTCCATGTCCAGAAATAGATCCAGGAGAGAGCGCACCAACCGTGCTGCCTTTGCCTTGCTTATGGAGATCAGGAAAGGCCTTACAAATTTCAGCAGGCCACCAAGCTCTAAAGTAACACGCAATGATAATGTGTCACAACAAAGTAAAACATTTCTATAGCAGGAACAGCATCCCCCCAGAATGTTGATCCCAACCTGCAGCTTGTCCCGTCTTCGCCAGGAGAGTGCCCAACTCCAGGATGCTCTGCTCCTTGACACGAACCGCCTCTTCATCATCTTCCTGGACATCTCGTCTCACTGAAAAATCCAGACAAAGTGAGAATACAAAGTTTAGTAACTAAGGCCAACGACCTTTAATAAACTCTCCCATCAATATAAATGAATTGACCTGAATATTGTAAATATTTTATTATTTAATATAATGTATGCTGCTGTTGCAATTAAAATGATTAAATAGTAAATACAAAATTAGTAATATAATACAACATTTTAAATGACAAACAAAAATACATCAAGTGTGTTAGATAATGACTGTATGTATAACTGGTGTAAATTTAAAACATTTGTAAGTAGCACATTCAAGAAACAAGCAACCATCTATGTCTTAATCTCATGTGAGTGTAAACGATTTTAACTATATTTATCAAAATAGCGGTTTAATTGAAGAAAAAAAAGCTAATTAGTGAATGTACCTTTATAGATAAAGTGTGTCATTTCTGCTGACCCTTCTAATGACTTTCAACAAGCTTTCCCTGAACACTCCCCCCATCAGCCATTGGTAGAACAACACATATTCCCGCCCCCAAACTCCTGCTATTGGCTGTGCCATTGTTGCTGTGTTGGGCTTGTCAGGGTGCTCAAAATAAAAGTAATGTTTTGACAACGTCGGTGTTTTCGGGGAAAATCAACCTACAAATTGCTTGCTTATAGCTGTCTCTGTGCATTTATCTGGGTTGAATACTTTAAAGTCTAAAAGTATAAATGTAACCTTTAAGAGTAACTTGCGTAATAATAACCAAGTTCCTATGCCTAATTATCTCATTTAATCTAAATTTGAAACCAACTTGTCATTATGTTACTCATAAGAAAAAGATGAAAACAAGAATCAGGTTGACATGAAAGAAACCTAACAGGTCTTGGAGACGACAAAAACAAACATAATACGGCAAATAATCGACACAAGTTTTAATTAGTCAAAAAACAACCGCTTTAACTCGACCAAACTAAAGTTATTTCATCTAAGACTGCTCGTTATGCCCTAATTAGCAAGCCCATTTATTTAATAAAAAATTATGATTTCAGCAGACAAACCGAGAAAGAAACAAATCTCAGTCAATGTCACGACAGCAAAAACAGAAATGTCAAAGCTTGCTTTAACGTTGGTATGAAACACGTCAATAAAGTTAAGATTGTCAAAATATGCCAATCTCAAAATAAAATGTCATCAGTGGAGCTATAATTAATAATACAACATTTAAATAATTCCCAACTATATGTGATAAAATACGCCCTGGCCTGGAATGGTGGCTAATATTGCAGGCTAACTGTCCATACACACTGGCTGTGTCTCAAAACGTTATGAGCTGCCTAGTTAAGACAGTTTTTAGCGAATCGGAGGTGCGTTCGAACGTTCGGTTCAAATGTTAAAGCACGCACAAGAAGCCCAAACAGCGGTCTTTGTTCTATGCTCGATTCGAACTTCCGAACGCGGCAATAAGGTCCAAATATGCTGCCTATGGAGGCAGCTCACTGGGTTTTGAGCCGCGCGCACGCACACAGTACAGTGAGTCAGCACCGGCTCATGGCTCCCCAGCCTTCCTCATAATGAAGCATTAAAGTAGCCATGCAGAGTGAAAAGTAACGTTTTATCAAAGAAACTAAAGACAGTTTTACCTATTGAATGTAAAATGTCAATAGAAGCGTTTCTGTCTGTGCTGATGAGAGACTGAGCTCTCTGAAACTCCACCACCGCCACGGCTGCCATCTTCCCTATTCAAAAAAATCTCACTACCCACAAGCACTTGCGAGCCCAACCGGAAGTGCGTCAATACGTACGCGCGTGTGTGTGCCTGCGGTGGCAGTTTGGGTTTTGTAGTATTTTTTGCTTTTACTTTTCTAGTGCACTATTGAGTACTAAAACACTTATATCTCAAATATCGCAGTATTAATCTAAACTCTGTTATTATTACTTTATTAAGACTACTACTTAATTTCGTAGGCTACCATGCTGCTCAGAGAATTTCTACAGTCTTATTTATTTATTTATTTTTGTTATTATTGATTTATTTTAATGGTCAGCAGGTGGTGACAAAGACCCCGATGCTGAAATAAATGCTGCTATAAATAAGGTAGCCTAGTGTATGGTTATCCTTATGCCATTGACCATCCTGCCTGTTTATGGGTGAAATCTGTGCGCTTCTGCTGAATGAATACACATACCCTGCTAACAAAGAACGATTAAGTAATTTGGCTAACGTTCTGGCAAAGTTATGAACAAACATTCTTCCAGTAGCTCACACCAGAACGTTCACTCAAAGTTGCCTGGTCTTTTTAAACAGGCCTACATGTATAAACACATTATAAAACACAAAAGACATCTGAAACATTGTGAAATAATTATGTTCGTCTGTGGTTTCGAAAAGCAACATTGCATTATATTTGCAAAATAATAAAATGAAATGTTCCCCTTAATGTTGTCTTTAAAGGTCATATTAAAAAAAGAATGTTCAGGGAACATTCAAAACTAACATTTTCATAAATGGGAATGTATCAAGATTTCATATCGCCGAAAGAATGAGGTTTTTTGAAGTTCTTAAAAAAGTTCCTAACAAAGCTGTTTTATATAAAAAAATTCCTATGGTGACTTTTATACATGGTGAAGCAAAAATATAAAAATAGTGACCAAATCCAGAAAAAAATGCCAGAAAATCTGCCCACACTATCAACAAACCTGGGTATCAATTTTTTACAAACGCTTGTCTCAGTCCTTAGCAATAATGTAGGAGACGGTTATACTTAAATAGTAGTTAAATAATTATGTAGTAAATAAGTATAGGCTATATTTACATAAATATTACATTAAATTATGTTTATTTACCTGGAGGACGATATAAAATATTTTAGACAAATGTAGGCCCTAGCTAATTATAAATACATAGCTGTCTCTTTATTCTGTTCATTTTTTTAAATTATTTTTAACTTTAACTAACCTAAATAACCTCCGAGTCTAAAAGTTTGTTGTGATTGCCAAGTGCGCGAAGGACACAGCACAGGGAGGCGCTCTAGCACAGGTTTTCTGACGGCAGTACGCAGTGTGCGAGCGCGGCTCTGACAGCATATCAACCTAAATCCCGTATCTGCTGGTGTGGACCAATAGCACAGCTTCACAGTTCTCAGCATCACCAACCAAAGGAGACATCCAGCATCCCCAGACCACTGGAGTACCTACAGAGACCTCCGACAAGACGTGAAGGTTGTTTTGTTTGATTAAAAGCCTATTATTCCATTGGAATTTAGGCTTCCTGACAATCTTAATATTCAATCTTTTTCTTGAGGTGGCTGATTTTGCATCTCCTTGATGCGCAGTTTATCAAGGATAAACCCAGACAGCCATTACTGCGGCTCTTGTTTTGCCAAAGCATCGTGGAGGAGAGCAGATTTCTGTAAGTGAGCTGTTTTTAATCGAAGCTTCTGTATTCATAGATGTTATATTTGCTTGATTGTTGGTCGTATTTTAAATACATTACTGTATTCTTATGGGAATTGTAAGCTGACTTGGCCAACATTTATTTTGTTGATTTATCTGTCTTTCTATATTCTAATTTTGTTGACTTGATGAAAACGAGTGTCAGTAATCTCTCGTGCTCATGTAAACATCACAGGGAGGATCACACATTTTCAGAACCTTGGACAGTGGCCGACATATTTGAGCAACGTACAAATACATTATAGTAGCAAAACAGATGATTTTTTTGTTTGTTTTGTTAAATCATCTACAAACATGCATTGAATGAGAATGAGGAATGAGAATATTAAATGTACTATTAAATGCAAATTTACGATGATACAGTGGAGTCAGTATTTACAAGAAGGCAGTAAACAGTGGAATCTGCAATCATGGCGATGTCTTTATTTATGTTCATTGGCGGGTTTGAGTTTGCTGTGTAATTTCTTTATAAACGTGGGCTGTAAATTATGATATTGTAAATGTGGTAGATCTACACAACAAATCAATTGTTTATATTGTAGGAAACCATGCCGTTTAAAAATAATTATTTGATTATTATTGTGAGTGCATGTCAAGGAATAAAGAATCTATGCCTCTTACTTAAATCTACGACGCAATACCTTTATAAGGCCTGTTTTCAACATAAAAATGTGTGCTATAGTCAAATTTAAACCACCAAGAAATATAAAAAGCAATTTTAAGTTTTCATGTGTAGAACAGGTTACATAAATATCAATAATATATGAACATTTTTGACTTAAGATAATTATTTGACACCTGAGAAAACCCATTGACAAATCATCTTGGATATAGCATTAATAATTTAAGATTATTTTAATGAAAACAAAATGCCTAATTGCCAGGCAAGCATGCAGTATTATGTTGTTAGGGCACTAATACAGGTATAACCCTTTATTTGTGTTGATGAAAAAAATGATAAATTGACTCAAATTTAACAAAGACAAGAAATATAAAAAGGCAACAATTAGATCTATATCATGAAGATACAATTTACTAGTATTATATTATAATGAATCTATTGCCAGGCAAGCATGCAGTATTATGTTGTTAGGGCACTAATACAGGTATAACCCTTTATTTGTGTTGATGAAAAAAAATGATAAATTGACTCAAATTTAACAAAGACAAGAAATATAAAAAGGCAACAATTAGATCTATATCATGAAGATACAATTTACTAGTATTATATTATAATTTATTCTGAAGAGACTATATTTTGCACAGTTGTACTGCATACACTGTGCATTCTGCAGTATGAAAAGTCTGTGATGCTAATCAAAATACATACTTATATCATTGCTATATTAAAAGGACTGTATTAAAATGTATATATTAAAATGTGTCAGGAAAGCACCAATTTGATAAAAAATATATATATATATATATATATATGTGTATTTATGCATGCCTTTTTTGTTTTACAGGCTTTGCAGTGACACAGCTCTCATCTATCCCATTGTCATTCTTCTTTAAATAGAGCACCAACCTAAATTTGGATGTCTAACACAGATTGAACTAGTCTCAGGAAGCAGTGGGGCTCCAGTTTGGCACCTTCTTTAGCTGACCCCTAAACTTGAGATTCTGATAACCTGCTCCCAGCATCATGGGAACCGTGCTATCACTTTCACCCAGCTACCGGAAGGCCGCCCTGTTTGAGGATGGCCCGGCCACCGTGGGCCACTACACGGCGGTTCAGAACAGCAAGAACGCCAAGGACAAGAACCTAAAGCGGCACCCACTCATCAACGTTCTGCCATGGAAACGAATAGTAGCCGTCTCAGCTAAGAAAAAGGGGTCTAAGAAGGTGCAGCCTAATACCGGCTACCAGAACAATGTTTCTCACCTCAACAATGAGAACCTCAAGAAGTCACAGTCTTGTGCAAATCTCTCCTCCTTTACACAGGACCAGTCGAGTCCATCAAACCAAGGCTCCAAAAACTCCAACAACACAGCTTCCTCGGTCAAGAAGGCACCTCTTTCCAACTCCAACGTTGTTCCCGGGACACCCAAGAGGGTGATCGTCCAAGCCTCCACCAGTGAGCTGCTGCGCTGTTTGGGAGAGTTCCTCTGCCGGAGGTGCTACCGACTCAAGCACCTTTCGCCCACCGACCCAGTGCTGTGGCTCCGTAGTGTGGATCGTTCTCTGCTGCTCCAGGGCTGGCAGGACCAAGGCTTCATCACTCCGGCCAACGTGGTTTTCGTCTACATGCTCTGCCGTGATGTGGTCTCCTCTGAAGTGGCTACGGAGCACGAGCTGCAGGCCGTGCTGCTGACCTGCCTCTACCTGTCTTACTCTTACATGGGCAATGAAATCTCATACCCTCTCAAGCCATTCCTGGTGGAGACCTCCAAAGAGACATTCTGGGACCGCTGCCTGTCCATCATCAACATGATGAGCGCCAAGATGCTGCAGATCAACTCGGATCCTCACTATTTCACCCAGGTCTTTGCAGACCTCAAAAACGAGAGCCAGAAGGAGGAGGAGAGGAGTCGTCTGCTCATCAGCCTGGACCGGTGAGGGGGCTCTGGAGATGTCTTTGGTGTCACTCTCGTCTGGCATTTTTTTCCAGGGGTAGTTCAGCTAAAAATTAAAATTCAGAGAAATCTATTCACCTTGATGTTATTCCAAATGCCCTTTGGAATACAGAAGAAGACATTTTGAAAAATGTCTCCGTGTTTCTTAGTCCAGAAACAATGGGGTCCAACAGGGTTGTTTTGGACCCCATTGACTCTCATTGTAGACTCTTAAAAATAAAGGTTCCAAGAGCAGATCTTCGCAGCGATACCATTAAAGAACCATTTTTAGTACTTTCAGTTCTTAAAGAACAACTTATATTAGTATAAAGTACATTTTAAACATCTAAAGAACTCTTTTCCACTATAAAGAACTTTTTGGAGAATGGAAAGGTTCTATGGATGTTGAAGGTTCTTCATGGAAGAATAGCTACCAATAAGGAACCTTTATTTTTAAAGTGAAAACAGTATCTCCTTTTGTCTCTTCTTCTTTTAGAGGGTGAGTAAATAACTAAATTTTTGTAGCTCCTACATGGGTGGAATAAATAATGAGATGTCTTTCAGTGTATTATTCACATTAATACATTTTATAGGAAGCAATGGGTGATGCTAATGTTGTTCAAAAGGAGCAGTGGGTCTTTTATTACCTTTAGTAATGGCAATTTTGGACCTGAATATAAAGAAATGCCAGACTTGAGTGGACCAAATGCTCTTAAGTAGTGAATATTTAAAAGCACTGACAGAAG